TTCTTTCAGTACCTCCATCATACTTTTATGTACCTAAACCTCTTTTCTGATCATGTCATCACTTTTGTAATTGCTGTTGTCGGCATATGTCAATTTCCCGTCGGGTCGGAACACACATTCCAGGAACCCATGGGGGACCTTGCTCTTGGGTCCCACGTCGTAACGTAGTGACGTAGATAAACGTCACCCTCGCCCCATGGCCCACAAAAGGCAACCGAGACCAAATGTGCTCCCAACACTGACTTGTTTCCAGTGGATCCTGGAAGTGACGTCAAAGCAAAAGCCTGATTTTCGGGTTTGATGAGAGCATGTCTGGATGATCTGATGGCAACGTCAGCACGGTATTTGTTGGCAGACTTTATTTTAGGGTTTGTGTGAAATGAAGGGTCAAAATCGTGTGTGGAGTTGGAGAAATAAAAAAGCGAAGGGATGAGTTGAGGATGGAAATGAAGGTGGGATTTCAGGTAGGAATTGGGTTGGGGATGAGAATGGGGTGAGATTGGGATCAGAGTGTGAGGATCGGCGTTGGGGGGTGAGCTGGGATGGGTTTACAGGAGGGATATCCCCATGGGCTTTCTGGAATGTGGCATGGGTGAGGCTAAAGTCTTAGTTGTGCGTGGAGCAGATTTGGGACTGAAGCTATGGTGACAGTCAGTGCTTGGGTCAAGCTGGAGTCGGCTTATGGCCAGAGGTTCAGGGTTCAGGTCAAGAATCAGAGTTAAGATTCATTGAGGTCTGAATCTGAGTGAATCATTGGGGTCAGAAACTCAGTCAAGTTTCAGGTTCTGAGTTGTGGTATACATTGGGATTGGTCAAGGATAAGGCAGGATTTAAGTTTTAGGATTGGGTATGAGTTAAAGTTTGGGATAAAGACTAGGGCTGTGTCAAGACTCATGTTGAGAGTTGTGTCAAAATATGGGTTGGAGTTACAGTTTTGCTTAAAGTCAAGGTCTGAGGATCCCACCCTATTGGAAGCATTTGACCATGCCTGACCATAACTTCTCCATGAATGGCACCACTATCCATCCAGCAAGTCTTAACATCTTCCTCTACCTCAACACAACCTCCATTTGATCCATCGCCAAGGCCTGTCGATTTTCTCTCCTAAGTGCATTTTGGATCCATCTGCCTAACATCATCTCCACCTCCCAATTACCGACGTCCAAGTCACCATCATCTCTCACCTGGACAGCACCAATGACTTCCCCATGGTCTCCTCATATCTTCACATCCTCCCCAAATTCATTCTTCACACAGCAGCCAGGGCGATATTTTGAAAACACAAGTTTTGTTATGTTATTTCCCTGATTAAAGTCCAAGTGTTTATTGTCCACAGGATAAAGTCAGACTCACCATGAAATATGAGACTCTTCATTGTCTGGTCCCAGTCAATCTCTGGTTTCCGAGTTGCATCCATGCCACCTTCCATGGGGTCTTTGAGTATGCCGTTTCCTCTACATGGTACACTTTCCATTCTCCTCTCATTTTCTTCTAGTTAATGCTCACTATTCTTTCAATTCTCACCTCGTTGTTACTTCCTGGGTCAAAACCCCCGGAAGAGATTTCATAATACCCTATGTGTTTCCTTCAGAGGACACATTACAGCTGTATAATTGTTTGCGAATTATTTAATTATTTTTCCTTTACACAAGACTGTCATCTCCTTGAGGGAAGACTTTTAATCTAGGTTTGTGCGCTATTGAATTGCACCCAGTCTGGCCTTGTATACAGCTGGTACTCAGTACATGACAGTCAGTGCTTGGGTCAGGTTGAGTTGGCTTATGACCAGAGGTTCAGGGTTCAGGTCGAGAATCAGGGTTAAGGTTCACTGAGGTCTGGGTCCGAGTGGATAATTGGAGTCAGAAACTCAGTCAAGGTTCAGGTTCTGAGTTGAGGTATACATTGGGATTGGTCAAGGATAAAGCAGGATTTGTATAAAGGACTGGGGTCTGAGATGGGATATGGGATGAGGGCCAGGGAGAGAGCTTGGACTGGAGGGAGGGTTGGGTTTGTTGATTAACGTGGCTTCTTGATCTGGGTTCAAGTTGGAGTTGGATTCGGATTCATGATTTGGGGTCAGATTGAGGATGAGTCGAGATTTGGATCAAACACTGAGGTCTTAGGAAGGATGATTTTGGCTGCAAGGACCAAACTCCAACCCAGAAAGGAAGCCTGAAACAGTTGTGAGATGAAGGGACTCCATAGTTGGTTAATTTACCAGCTTAGTGATCTCATCAAAGACCCAGCAGGTCATCACCTCTCTGGCCATCTGCAATGTTTTGGCTTGGTCCACTGGTCACTTCCCTCCATGGTCCCAGGAGGGCTGCCACGGTTCTAGACTTTGCATCCAGAAGAACACCATCTGGCAGAAGAAAAGAAAACTCTTCCAGTGTCTCTTTTTGAAAACAAGGAAGTCTTCCTAGTTTTGTTTGTTTGTTTTATTTTATTTTGTTTTTTGGAGTCAGTATCTCACTCAGTCACCCAGGCTGGAGGGTAGTAGCATGCTCATGGCCACCACCACCTTGACATATTGGGCTTGGGTGATCCTGTCACCTCAGCCTTCCAAGTGACCGAAACCACAGGTGCCACCACACCTGGCTCATTTTTTTATTTTTTATTTTTGTGTAGAGATGGGGTCTTGCTGTGTTGCCAGGCTGGTCTTGAACTCCTGGACTCAAGCAGTCCTCCTGCCTTGGCCTCCCAAAGTGCTGGAATTACAGGTGTGAGCTGTCATGCCCGGCTCTCCTACTTTTATTTCCCCCCACAGCACTTCTCACCACCTAATAAACTTCACATTTTGTATACTTTTGTTTGTCCTGACAGTCTCTACCCCTTAGAACAAGAGTCTCTCTGAGGCAAAAATTTGTGTCTGTTTTGTCACTACTGAGTCCCCAAGACCCAAAATAGTCTCTAGCCCAGAGTAGATGTTCAGTAGATACTTTCTGAATGAATACAGTGAGCAAAAATGAATGTACAAAGTTCATCCCAGCATTATTATAAGGACACCATCCAAGTGTATTTCAACTTGAGACAATTACATAAATCACAATACAACTTTACTATAGAATGTCATACAACCATTACCAGGGAAGGAGAAATAATCTAAATATACTAAGAGGGAAAATTTTACTTTTCTTCAGTAATTTTATTGTGTATATTTAAGGTATGCAGTGAGCTGTTATACAATTTATAGACATAGTGTAATGGTTACTATGGTGGAACAGATTAACATATCCATCATCTCACATAGTTACCCTCCCCTGAGGCAAGAGCTGCTATAAGCTACTAATCCAGCCCAAATCTGAAATACAACACACTATCATTAACTGCCATCCTCAGGCTGTCAGTTAGAGTTATTGGCTTGTTCATTCTACATTTTTGCTACTTTGTGTCCTTTGACCCAAGTCTCTTCATTCTGAGATATTTTATCTTTTGAGTTGTAGTCTCACTCTGTCACCCAGGCTGGAGTGCAGCGGTACCATCACAGCTCACTGCAACCTTGACCTCCTGGGACTCAGAAGATCCTCCCTCCTCAGCCTCCCTGGTAGCTGGAACTACAGGCGTGTGCCATCACGCCCAGCTAATTTTTTTATTTTTATGTTGTAGGGACGAAGTCTCTTTAGGTTGCCTAGGCTGGTCTTGAACTCCTGGGCTCAAAGGATCCTCCTGCCTCAGCCTCACAAAGTGCTGGGATTACAGGTGTAAGCCACTTGGCCCAAGGTGTTTTATAGACTAAAAAAAAGTTCTATTAGATAATGTTTAGTACAGACATTTTTGTTTTGTATTGAACAGAGAAACTATGTATAACACGACAAAAAATGGTCATAGGCACATACATGTTCTGAACATGACGAATATCGAATATGGCACTATCAAATATGACTAAACTGGCAACAATAAGTAGCGTTTAGCGGCTGGTGTTGGGGACTGGGCCCTTTCTAATGCACACCGCCCCCCACCCCAAGGGGCTGAGGATGTGTCCAGACATAAAGGTACCCCAGGGGTCCAGCCAGGACAGGTCCCCACAGCCTGAACAGAATTAGGGTGCAGGGTCAGGCCACCCCCGAGAGTGGATGAGGGCAGGCAAATGGCCCCAGAGGAGGACCCAGGCCAGAACCTCCACGGGAGCTCAGCCCTTCTTTGAACCCCGCTCCGGCCCATCAGAGCCAGCCTGGTCCCTCCCTCGCCAGCCGCCTGGAGACGGCGGGTCAGAATGTGCGGGGGCGAACGCGGTCCCCGCCCGACCTGCGGGAGGCAGGGTGGGGAGAGAGTGCGTCGCGGTGCCAATTGCTGTGGCTGCCTCAGGGCTTCCAGATAACCCGAACCGCAAACACAGGCAGGAGGTGTCCCAGAGCCGGCTCCGCCCGCACCCCGGGGCGCGGGGGCGGGGGCGGGGGTGGTATAAGAGGACCGCCCCGCAGAGGGCAGGAGACGCCTGGCGCCGACCGAGTCCGGAGCCCGGATCGGATCAGACCCTCCCGAGGTGAGAAGGGACCTTGTCCGAGGTGAGAAGGGACCCCATCATGGAGCCCACTGAGCCTCTCAGAGGCTGCACAAGGAAAGGCTCGTCTGCTGGAGCTGGAGAGATCATTCAGGAGCAAGGGTTCAGGCCCAGCCCCTCCTCCCTCAGACCAGGAGTCCAGGTCCCCAGCGCCTCCTTCCTCAGACCGTGGGGTGCCGGTGATGTCGGGCGCGGCTGATTCCTGCTTCTGAGAGGGGAGGGACGGAGCTTGGAGACCCAGGTGTCTTAGGGAAGGGGGGTCCAGGCGTTCAGAGCTCTAGGTTCCAAAGTGAGGAGGGATGGCAGCCTGGATTCCCGGGTCTGAGGGAGGAGGGGTTGGGGGCTTGGACTCCTGGGTCTGAGGAAGGAGGCGCTGGGGACCTGGACTCCTGGTCTGAGGGAGGAGGGGCTGGGCCTGAACCCTTGCTCCTGAATGTTCTCTCCAGCTCCAGCAGACGAACCTTTCCTTGTGCAGCCTCTGAGAGGCTCAGTGGGCTCCATGATGGGGTCCCTTCTGCTGCCCCTGCACATCCTCATGCTGACCTTGGCCCTGGGGACTTCTGGACAAGAAGGTGAGGGCTGGATGGGGAGACCTGACCTCACCCTGGGTCCCCCAGTGTCCCCACTGACCGTCTCCAAGGAGCCCCCGAGTCAGAGCCCCTCCCTCCTCAAACTGCTTCCACCCTCGGAGACCAGACTGGACCACAGCCCCCTTGTTTTCCGCTTCCTGCCTTCTCCAGGGTCTCTGTCCCCTCCAGGCCCAGTCCTGACCTGCAGCCTCCATGGTGGCCCAGAGGAGATGCCCCCACTGGGTTTCGAAGTGGACTCCCTCCATCTCTCTCCATCGCCGTCTCTTTCCAATGCTGTCTCTCCTTCTCTGCATTCTCCATGCATCTCTGTCTCTCCCATCTCTGATTTGGAGCCCAGGGCTGCCAACTCAGCCTTCCCCGCTGCCAATGACGCAAGTGTTTCTCTATGTCTCCATCCAGACCAGGGTAACAAGAGTGGGGAGAAGATCATCAATGGCGTCCGGTGCACAACAGGCTCCCACCCGTGGCAGGTGGCCCTGCTCAAGGGCAACCAGCTCCACTGTGGGGGTGTGCTGGTCAGCGAGCGCTGGGTGCTCACGGCTGCCCACTGCCAGATGAGGTGGGTGTGCCCGCCTGCTGTGGTCAAGGGGTCAGCTCTCCAGGGGTCTCTGCCTTTTGCTCTAGGTCCCTGTCTCCCTCTCTCTGGGTCTGTCCCCTCTTCTTGGATATCTGGCCCCCTTTCTCTGGGTCTCTGTCCCCCTCACAGTCTCAGTGTCTCTTTCTGAATGTTGCTCCTTCTCCCAGTGATTACATGGTGCACCTGGGCAGTGACGAGCTGGACGATAGGAAAGCCCAGAAGATCAAGGCCACAAGGTCATTCCGCCATCCTGGCTACTCCACGCAGACCCATGTGAATGACCTCATGCTTGTGAAGTTAAATAAGCCAGCCAGGCTGTCATCAAGTGTGAAGAAAGTCAACATGCCCTCCCACTGCGAACCCTCTGGGACCACATGTACTGTCTCTGGCTGGGGCACAACCACAAGCCCTGATGGTAGGCTGCCTCAGTGACCCCGGAGTCTAGACCCCAGTGCCTCCTCCCTCAGACCAGATCAGACCCCAGCCCCTCCTCCCTCAGGCCCGGGAGTCTAGACCCCAGCCCCTCTTCTCTCAGACCCAGGAATCCAGGCCCCCAGTCCCTCCTCCCTCAGACCCAGGAGTCCAGACCTCACCCCCTCCCCCCTCAGACATGGGAATCCAGACCCCCCAGGTCCCTCCTCCCTCATACCTGGGAGTCCAGGCCCCAGCCCCTTCTCCTTCAGACCCGGGAGTCCAGGCCTACAGCCCCTCCAATACTCAGGCACCCTCCTCTCCCCACCAGCACCCAGGAGTTCTCAGGTCCTGGCTTCTGACTGACAGGTCTCCCCTCTCCCTTCAGTGACTTTTCCCAAGGAACTCATGTGCACAGACGTCAATCTCATCTCCTTCAAGGACTGCAAGAAGGTTTACAAGGAAATGCTGGGCAATTCCATGCTGTGCGCTGGCATCCCCAACTCCAAGACCAACGCCTGCAACGTGAGACCCCCTCCCTTCCCACCCCAGGTGCCCTGCCTGCTGGCTCTTGGCACAGAGCCTGACCGGGTGACTGGCTGGAGCCTGCCCTCCATCCACCAGACCTGACCTCCTTGGCTCTCTTTACCTCATTCCCTGCCTAGGTCAGCAGGGGGAGCTTACCCAGGACTGAGATGGCCCTGAGGGTGGGGCAGAGGACTTAATGGGTTGAGAAATTGGGGGTAGGGGGGACCAGGGGAAGTGAATGAGGCTCTGACTCCAGACCTAAGCTTTAAGGGGGGTACTGAAAAACTTGGTGATTGAGATGGATCCTTTTCTTTTCTTTTCTTTTGAGAAAGTAGAATTTATTAAGAGGACAGGAAAGCTCCCACAGTGGGAGGGGACCCGAAGGGGTTGCCCAAGATCGGTCGTTTTCTAATGCAATATTTAAAATTAAAAATTCATGCAAAAAGTCCACAATTTTAAATAAAGAGCAGGACCTTTGCCTCATGCAGCAATATGGCCCAGCCTGGCACTGATGCTGTCATTATTTAGAATTTAGATGCTGGGCGTGGTGGCTCACATCTGTAATTCTAGCACTTTGGGAGACCAAGTCAGGAGGATTGTTTGAGCCTGGAATTCAAAACCAGCCTGAGAAACATAACAAGACCTTGTTTCTACAAAACATAAAAAAAAGTAACAGGGCATGATGGCGTGCACCTGTAGTCTCAGCTACTCAGGTAGCTGAGCCAGGAGGATCGCTTGAGCCCAGGATGTTAAGGCTGCAGTGAGCTATGGTCACACCACTGCACTCCAGCCTGGGTGACAGAATGAGACCCTGTCTCTAAAAAGGAAAAAAAAAAAGAATTAGATTTTGGATAGTATGTCCATCACAGGGATTTATATTTAAAGTATCCCCTCAAAGTATTATTTCTTGCACTTACTGAGATTTTGTGCCTGAAGCTGATGCCTTACTCACCGCACCCTGGTCCTGGGGAAAGTACTCTCCCTCTCCCTCCACTTCCTTTCTGGTATCTTTTCCTAATCTCTTGCCATTCCCCCCATTCCTCCCCAACCCTCTGTTTCTGAACAAAGTCTTCCCACATCTCTGTTTATGCCTAACTTAATTGCATTCTTTTCCTCTGTTCTTTCTCTGTGTTGGTCTCTCTCCCTCTCCCTCCCTTCCCTCTCTCTCCCCTCTGTCTCTCTTTCTCTTTGCCTGTCTCTCTTTCTCCCCCTCCTCTCTGCCTCTCTCTCTCTCCCCCTACTCTCTCTCTCTCCCTCTTTCTCTCTCTCTCTCTCTCTCTCTCTCTCTCTCTCTCTCTCCCCCTCTCCCCCCCCCCCTCTCTCTCCCCTCTCTCTCTCTCTCTCTCTCTGTCTCTTTCTCTCTCTGTCTCTGTGTC